AGAGAACTGAGAACACGTAACCACAAAAACTTGCATGTAAATGTTTGCAGCAGCAGTATCCACAGTAGCCAAAAGGTGGAAACAGCCCAATGTCCACCAGCTGATGAATGGACAAATATGATGTGGCAGACATCCATACAAGAGATCATTACTCAGCCATAAAAAGGAATGACATCCTGTCTGATACATTCTTCAACATGGATGGATAAGCCTTGAAAACCCTTATGCTAGGCTGGGCTCAGTGGTTCAGCCTGTAATCCTAGCACTTTGGGAGGCAGAGGCGAGTGGATTGCCCGAGCCCACGGGTTTGAGACCCACCCGGGCAACTTGGCAAGACATCATCTCTACAATGAAAAATCAAAAAGTAGCCGGGCATGGTAGCGCACACCTGTAGTTCCGGCTACTTGGAAGGTGGAAGGATCACCGGAGCCCAGCAGGTTGAGGCTTTGGAGGCCATGAGAGTGCCACTGCACTCCAGCCTGGGTAACAGAATGAGACTCCAACTCAAAAAAAAAAAAAGAAAGAAAGAAAACCCTTATGCTAAATAAAATAGTCACCCCTGATTACATATTGCATGATTCCATTTGCATGAAATGCCCAGAACAAGCAAATCCACAGAGACAGACAGCAGATTAGTGGTTGCCAGGGACTGAGGGGAAGGGGGTGTGGAGCAATTGCCAACAGGTATGGGGTTACCTCCTGGGGCAATAAAAATATTCTGGAATTAGATAATGGTGATGGTCACACGATATCATGAATATACTGAAAAATCACTGAATTACACACTTTAAAATAGTGAATTGTATGGTGTGTGAATTAAATCGCAACTTTTAGAATTGCCAAGAAAAGAGTGGCACCTATGAAATGGACACAATGACACTATGTGCGCCTGGAGGCTGTTGGTAGGTTAAACAATATGACACTGTGTGTGCAATGCTCACGCGGGGCCTGGTACGGAGCACGTGCTCACACACAGCAGCTATGTTACAATAACGCTGCCACTGGCTTTCTGCCTAAAATAGGGCGTGGATGACACTGGACAAGAGGGTGGCTGGTGTGCGGCCTTGAGCTGCAACCCAGCTGGGCAGCAGTGCTCCGCAGCCCTCATTGAGAGCCTGCCTCCTCCCTACTCTCTAGCGAAGAACTGTCTCCATGGCAACCACATCAGCTCAGGCCAGGGGCTCCAGTCGGGTGACAGCATCGCCTGAGCAACCTGTCAGGATGGCAAAGGCAGATCTTGATGACAGGACTGCAGCTCAGGCAGCATTGCTAAGGGAACATCGTCTCCATAGAAACCAAGTCAGGAAAGAGGAGGGGGAGGGAAAGGATAAACAGCAAGTAAACACAGGCTCCTGCCAGGATCCAGAGACCACGGGCACATCAGGAGGGTGACCTGCCTCGCAATCCCATCTCCAAGGGGAAGTGAAACAGTGGTCCTTGAGCACCTACTCTGTGCAGGCACCACAAAGGGCTCTTTCTACACTTGACCGCTCCTGACATTTCACAAATAATGCCCAAATACATTCTTACTGTTTAAAAAAATCCCTAGCCAGCTCGGTGGCTCAGCCTATAATCCCGCGCCTTGGGAGGCTGAGGTGAGTGGATTGCCTGAGCCCGCGGGTTCGAGACCCGGCTGGGTAACTTGACGAGACCTCATCTCTACAATAAACCAAAAAAAAATTAGCTGGGCGTGGTAGCACGTGCCTGTAGTTCCAGCTACTTGGAAGACTGAGGCAGAAGGATCGCCGGAGCCTAGCAGGTAGAGGCTTTGGTGGCCGGGAGCGGCCACTGCACTCCAGTCTGGGCGACAGAGTAAGACTCCAACTCAAAAAAAAAAAAAAAAAAAGCCCTAAGCACAGCACGAAGAAAATGAAAAGCAAATGTCACTGCCTAGCCCACTCCCACCGTCTCTAACTTCTCAGACCAGCAGGTTGTCCTGTAGTTTGCTACATGTTTGCACATGTGTGTACACGCTTCAAAGCAGCAGTGGCTTTGGCACTATATGTATAGTTCTGTAACTTTCTTTTCCTGCTTAATAATAGACTTGGAGGTCTTTCCATACCATATGTAAAGAATATATAATATACAATTTACCATTTTAACTATTTTTTGTTTTATTGTGGTAAAATATACATAATATAAAATCCACCATTTTTAGTGTTCAGCTCAATGACATCTGTACGTTCACAATGCTGTGCAACTATCACCACCACCATTACCTCCAGAACCTTGTCACCTTCCCAAACTGAGACCCTGTACCCACCAAACACCAACCCCTCAGTGTCCTCTCTGCAGCCCCTGGAAGCCACTATCCTGCTGTCTCTATGAATTGGACTGATCTGGATATTGCATATAAAAGGAATATACAATATTCATCCTTTCGTGCCTGGCTTATTTCAGTCAGCACAATGTTTTCAAGGCTCATCAGCGCTGCAGCGTATGTTGGTATTTCTTTCCTTCTTAAGGCTGAATAATATATTTCATCATACGTATCCTCGTTCACTGATAAACATTTGGGCCACTTCCACCTTTTGGCTATTGCAAATAATGCTGCTAGGGACATGGGTGTGCACAAATGTCTCTGAGTCTGCTTTCAATTCCCTGAAGTGGAATTGCTGGAACATACTGTAATTCTATGATTACTTTTCTGAGGAACTGCCATGCTATCTTATTCTTTTTAACTTCTTCAGAGTACTTTATGGTTCCACAATCTTTTTTTTTTTTCATTTATTGTAGTAGAGATGAGGTCTCGCCAAGTTGCCCGGACTGGTCTCGAACCTGTGGGTTCAGGCAATCCTCTTACCTTGACCCCTCAAAGTGCTGGGATTATAGGTGTGAGCCACTGCGCCCGGCCACGTTCCACAATCTCAATGATCCTACACAACTTCATAGGATGGGTACAGTTATCCTGCTATCAAGATAAAGAAACTGAGACTTAGAAGAAGGAAGTGGCTTCAGGGTTTTGGTAAGGAAGCACATTTCTGCTAAGGAAAGACTGGGTGAACTCAAGTAGGATTTTCCTCTCTGGGCCTCAGTTTCTTCACTTGTGCAGTGGGAACAGGTTAATCTCCAGGATGGTTTCTGAAATCGTCTCCCCTTTTCACTGTCAGGGGTGGTGGCAGCAATAGTGTGGTGAGAGGACAGTGTCCTGAACTGTCGGCCAGGCCATGGTAGGTGGGAGGATGCACGAGGGAAGGGTCCTGCCAGCCAGCCTGGTGCAGGGAGCAAGGCTCCGCAACTGCCCTCAGCAGCAAATACCCCCTCTCCACACGGAGAAGGCGCTGGTACAGTCAGCACACTAAGCAGGAAGGATGGCTGAAAGACAGCTCAGGCCTTGGGCTGCGGCTTCTCAGTCAGGGAATGCTGGTGTGCCCACCTCCTGGGGAAGCAGGCAGGCAGCCTGCAGCAAGAAGTGTGCCCTAGAAGAATGTGTGATCACAGGATGGCTCACAGGATGGCTCACAAGAGCTGAGGTCCAGCTATCTCAGGAGCCAGAAGCTGACCCTGGCCTGGAACACAGAACCCTAGAGTAAGGAGGACTCCAGCCTTAAGGGTCTCCTAGGTTTCCCAATGGCATTGTGCAGATCCCCTATCTCTTTCAAGGGTTGTCTGCTTATCTATAAAATGGGTGTGATCAAGCTGGGCGTGGTGGCTCATGCCTACAATCCCAGCTACTTTTGGGAGGCTGAGGTGGGAGAGTTGCTTGAGTTCAAGAGTCAGAGACCATACTGGGCAACACAGTAAGACCTCATCTAAAAAAAAAATGGTATGATCACAACCTCATTGGGCCTTCATAAAAATTTTTGAGGTGGGACTCGGTGGCTCAGCCTGTAATCCCAGCACTTTGGGAGACTGAGACAAGTGGATTGCCAGAGCCCACGGGTTCAAAACTAGCCTGGGCAACCTGGCAAGACCTCGTCTTTACAATAAATCAAAAATTAGCCAGGCATGGTAGTACATGCCTGTAGTTCTGGCTACTTGGAAGGCTGAGGGGGAAAGATCGCTGGAGCCCAGCAGGTCAACACTGGGGTGCCATGAGTGTGCCACTGCCCTCCAGCCTGGGCGACGGAGTGAGACTCCAACTCAAAAAAAAAAATTTTTTTTTTGACATAAACTATCAGGCATGGTGTGTAACACACTGCAGAAGGAGAAGAAAGTATGTCAAGAGGAGGAAAAATAAGCAAGAGCAAAGGCAAAGAGGATAGCGCCCAGGGATCACATTCAGGAAGCATCTGGTACCCAAGGGACATCAATCTGAGAGCCAGCCCCAGTACTGACTTCACACCAAGTAGCAACACCTGGCAGTCCCCAATGCACGTCCATACCAGTTATCCCAGTTAGCCCTCGCAGTGCCTCAGGACACTACTGCCCTATTTTCTTTTTTTTGAGTTGGAGTCCCACTCTGTCACCCAGGCTGGAATGCAGTGGCACGCTCACGGCCACTGCAGCCTCAACCTTTTGGACTCAGGCGATCCTTCCGCCTGAGCCTTCCAAGTAGCTGGAACTACAGGCATGCGCCACCACGCCTGGTTAATTTTCTTGATTTATTGTAGAGACGAAGTCTCGCCAAGTTGCCCAGGCAGGTCTCAAACCCTTGGGCTCAGACAACCCTCTCTCCTCTCTCCTCCGCCTCCCAAAGTGCTGGGATTACAGGTATGAGCCCGGCCTGTCCCATTTTATAGATAAGGAAACTGAGGCAGGAGGTCTGGGCCCCTGCTGGGCATTATTTTCCCAGCAACTGTGGTTCTTTGCTGAGCGACTCTCGGCCTTGTGAGCCCATGAGCTCCTAGGTGCAGGAACCTGCATTATTCCACTCACCATGCGGCCTCTGTATCCGGCACACAACGTACACAGCAGGTGCCAGAGGAATAAATGAGGGACAACCCAGGTGGTGAGGCACAGCCACCCACGTCCCACAGGCAGGCAGAGGCTTGGAGACACCGGCCAGGCTGAGTGTGCATGTGCCCGCAGCCCCAGGTTGCCGCCAGGACGCAGCTCACCTCCCTCGGCCGCTCCAGCTCTGCCTGCAGCACCTGCTTGGCCAGCTCGGCCTCGATGAGCTGCTGCCGAAGCGCCTCATTCTCCTCCTCCAGCCGCGCCCGCTTCTTCTCCACCACCTCGAGCTCCTTGTGCAGCCGCATGGAGATGTCCTTAGAGACCTGGGCAGGGCAGGGCAAAAAGGGCTGAGCAGGTTGAGGGTAGCAGCCCCCACCAGTCCCACGGCCCACCCCGCCTCTGCCGCAGAGCAGCCCTGGGGGAAGGCAGTCTTATCCTGTCACCCCCACTTGGCAGAGGAGCAAACTGAGCACAGAGAGGCCAGGAAACCCACCAAGGGACAAGCAGCCAGGGAGGAACAAAACCAAAGCCCCAGCCCAGGCAGCTCTGCTCCCGCATCTGCGGCACAGCACAGCCCAGAAGGCCGGGGAAGTCCTGCCTGCCCTAAGCAACGCCTTTGCATTTGCCAGGGCTTTTCACACTTCCAAACCTCTCCCAGTCGCCTTCCTGCCCAAGTCCTTGCGAGAGCCTAGGGGGGGTGCCAGCAGCTCATCCTCGACGGAGTGACTGGGGGTGGGGGTGGGGGGGACCCACAGCAAGTCAGGCATCCCAGAACCACCAAGCCCCAGCTCTGCCGGTGAACAGGGTGTGATCCTGGGTGTGATTCTACGCCTCAGTCTCCTCAACTATAAAATGGGTACAGTAACAACAGGACCCACCTTGTGGACCCAACAGGAAGACTGAATCTGCTACTGCACACAATGAGCAACAAGTGAGTGGCGACTGCTGCTCTGAAGAGCCAAAGCCCAGAGAAGGGCGTGGCTGGCCAGAGATCACCATGCGATCCTGAGACCTATTTCCAGTCATCTGGGATGCAGAACATGCCCGAAATGACAAAGGCTGGGCAGGTATCCAAGTCATCCCGAGAGAAAGACACTAAATGAGCCGCAGTCTCTAGCCCCGTTCCAGGACTCTGCAGCGACAGCACCAGTTCCTGGAAGACGCGCTGGCCTGCGCTGCCGGCTGGGTGAGGGAAGCCAGGAGGGGGCGGTGGGGATGCGGGCACTGAGCTCCTAGGCACTTAGTGTGTGCAGCCTGGTGCTGCTGCTGGGACACATAGACAGGAATGAGCCCAGACCTGGTCTGAGACCTTGATCTCTATAACCCACCACTCCTGCCCCCAGTGACCCAGCAGGATGGCTGGCTGGCTGAACGAATGAATGAAGTGTTGGTCGGAGGGCCGTGCACTAAGAGCTGGGAGGCTGCACAGACTCCACCCTTGAGTGGGCTGGGCACTACTGTTGGGTGGTACTCACTGGGTGCCAACCTCCCTCAGCTTCCCCCTAGTCCTGCTCCCATGTTCCTGACAAGGAAACTGGAGCTCAGGGCAGAAGTGACTTGCTCAGGGTCACACAGAGCCAGTGAGGGCTGGGCTGGAAGCCCCAGGGGTTGGCTAAGGGGACAGGAGTGCCAGGGCTTTGCCAGCAGGAGTTCTGTGTGGGGCAGACAGCACAGCACTGGTGCCTGCTGGTCCCGGAAATGGCCACGGCGCCTCCTCCCTGCCGGAAGGGAGAAGGGCCCTCCCTGGCTGTGTCCTCTGCCTGGGCTCAAGCCCAGCTCGGCACAGACCCCTGGCAGTGTGCAAGACAGGCCAGGAAAAACAACCACTAGAAAGGAAAACTGGGTGTGGCCTCCCCCTCCCGCGCTGCCCGCTGCCCCTCTCTGTCCCTGAAGATCTCCGATGGCAGCCAGAAGCTGCCCATAGGCCCCTCACAGCCTCCCTAGACCCCAGACTCTCCTCATCCACAAAGTAGGCAAGCAATATAGAGGAGAAATTGAGACTACAGTCTGGTCCTGGCACTTACTGCTCCATGACCCGAGACAAGGTATTTAACTGTTGAAGTCAGTGTGGGCAACAGTAAAGAGGGCTGCTGAGAAATAAAGGACGCAGATCTTGGGCTGCTGGTGGGAACACAACAGTTGCTTACAACAATCCAACAGGCCAGGCTCAGTGGCTCAAGCCTGTAATCCCAGCACTTTGGGGGGCCGAAGCGAGAGGATTGCCTGAGCTCAGAGGTTCGAGATCAGCCTGAGCAACTTGGTGAGACCTCGTCTCTACAATAAATCAAAACATGAGCTGGGCGTGTGCCTGTAGTTCCAACTACAGCCACTTGGAAGGCTGAGGCGGAAGGATCGCCTGAGCCCAGCAGGTCGAGGCTGTGGTGGCCGTGTGCACTCTAGCCTGGGTGACAGAGTGAGACTCCGACTCAAAAAAAAACCCCAATCCAACAATCTTTAATCACAAGGTGATTGCTCTACCTCTGGGCACTGATTTTGCCCATCTTGACCCAACCACAGAGCTTTTGCAGGGTGTGTTCAGCCTTTGGCTTCTGGCTGTGGTTCCCAGGGTGGGGTTTTAGGTCACCCAGTAAGCCTCAGTTCTGATCAAAACTTCATTCATTCATTCACTCATCCTGCTTAGGCACTGGGGGCAGGAGTGGTGAGTTATAGAGATCGAGGCCCCAGACCAGGCCTGGGCTCATTCGTATCTATGTGTCTTAGCTCTACACACTAAGTGCCTAATAAATGCTTGTTGGATGAACAAACAATTCCAAGGGTACAAGTGACAAGGGAAGAGTATGAACAAGTGAATGGCTGAATACATGTGGAGGGTTGTACCTGCCTGAGTAGGGCTGGGGGAGCTCTCCTCAAATGCCCATCCTGCCACTGTCCAGAGAGGGGGCTGTGTCCCTGCCTAGGGTAAGAAAACAGGCCACCGGGGGCCAGGGCTCCTCTTCCGAATGTGCTCCCATGTAGGTCAGTTCCTCCCCAGCTGGGGGTTGCCCCCCTTCACCATGGCCTCCACCGGGGCATCTACCTGGTCACCACCAAGAAGGCATGACCCAGTGGGTTTCTGGATCCTCCTGGATTCATGAGTGACTCTATGGACTTCATGTCCCTGTGAAGCCCTGGTTCCCTGTGCCCCAATCTCATGGAACTCCTTCCCCATTTGCCCCCCCAACCCCAACAGCTGCGAGGTCAAGAAACGCCAACCCCGGGCAGCTTGCAGCCTTCCAACACGGACAAAGAGCCCTTTACCTCAGACCCCCACAGTGCTCTGGGCCCCAAATGGAGACCAATGAGAGCAAAGAACATGCCAGACTAGGAGGCATGAGCCTTGTGGGCTGGGGACGCCCCCTGCCCTCTCTGAGCCTCAGGGGTCCTGGGTCCCTCAGCCCTCACGAGTGATTGACAGAATCAGTTAGCCTTCCCCCAGTGTCCACCCCATGTTTTTCACCCCTTGGGAAGCATTCTGATGACTACTCCCATTCTGGGGCTCTGAAAAGAAAGGCCACTTCCCAAGGTCACACAGCTAGAAAGATTTGAAATCCTGTAGGTCACCTCTAAAGTCTTGCTCTCGGATGGGTGCCCTCACTCACACCTATAATCCCAGCCCTTTGAGAGGCCAAGGCAGGAGGATCGCTTGAGCCGGGAGTTTGAAACCAGCCTGAGCAACATAGGGAGTCCCCGCCTCTACACAAAAATAAAAAACTAGTCTGGCATGGGGGCACACCTCTAGGCCCAGCTACTCGGGAGGTTGAGGTAGGAGGATTCCCTGAGTCCTGGAGTTCAAGGCTACAGTGAACTATGATCGTGCCACTACACTCCAGCCGTGGTAGACAGAGCAAGACCCTGTCTCTAAAAAATAAATAAATAAACAAAAGCATAATAAAATCTTACTCTCAACCTGATCCTGTTGTATAGGCTCGAAGCTTGAAGACACATTACATTAACGTCAACAATAGAAGATTAATAATAAGTCCTGACAGTGGGCTCACTGCATCAGGCGCCTGAAGGGCCCACGTGCCTATGTCATGGGTAGGGGACTGAGATACTAAGGGAGGCAAGGCAGCTGCAGCTTCAGGAAACCAGGGCAAATCCCCAAGGCACAAACAAATGCACTCAGCCATGAGGTCACCGTTTATAGCACTGGGGCTTGGCTCCAGCCAAGGACAGCCAGCAGCCTCTAGTCTCCCCGTGCACTGGGCCCCTCCACTCCGGGACCTCTGGGCCTGTCACTGACTCTCAGGGAGGGGGACAGGAACTCTCACTAAAGAGTTCAGAATGCTGCCCCTGGCCGCAGCATTCTGAGTCCGGTGTGGCTGAATCCTCCCATGAACCCCAGGACAGGGGGAATGTCACCTCTATTTTATTTTACTTTATTTTTAGAGATGGGGCCTTGTTCTGTCACCCAGGCTGGAGTGCAGTGGTGCAATTATAGCTCACCATAACCTTGAACTCCTGGGCTCAGGAGATCCTTCGATGTCAGCTTCCTGAGTATCTGGGACTACAGGTGTGCACCACTATGCCCAGTTAATTTTTATTTTTTATTTTTGTAGAAATGGGGTCTTGCTATGTTGCCCAGGCTGGTCTTGTTCTCCTGGGCTTAAGCAGTTTTCCCACCTCAGCCTCTGGAGTAGCTGGGATTACAGACTCAAGGCACTGTACCTCGCTCGTCCCCATTTTACAGATGAGGAAACCAAGGCTCAAAGGGAGGCAACCTGCACAGACCACTTAGGAACTAAAACCAAGGTTTAATTACTGAAGGTTTTCTCCAGCAACATCTGTATCTGAGGAAGGGAGCATGTTACTGGTGTGTCCTCAGCTTCCTACATGAGTCACCTCAGACAAGAATTTAATTATTTGAGTCAGGTTCTCACTCTGTCACCCAGGCTGGAGTCCAGTGGCAAAAACATGGCTCACTGCAGCTTCAACTTCCGGGGCTCAGGCAATCCTCCTGCCTCAGCCTCCTGAGTAGCTGGGACTATAGGTGCACGCCACCATGCCTGGCTAATTTTTTTGATTTTTTGGTAGAAATGAGGTCTCACTATGCTGCCCAGGCTGGTCTCAAACTCCTGGGCTCAAGTAATCCTCTTGCCTCGGCCTCCCCAAGTGCTGGGATTACAGGTGTGAGCCACCGTGCCCAGCCTCAGTAGGAATTCAGATCACAGATTCCCTGGACTGGACACTCCCTGTCAGAGTCCTGGGAATCTACATGGTAAACGAGCCCTCCAGATGATTCTTACCCACCTCAGAACACTGACATTCTGGCCTATCCTCACTCTGGCCACCAGTCCTTCTAGTACCTTTTAAGCTCTCCTGAGCAACCCACATCCAACAGGTGCTTATTTGCTAGACTTAGTGTGCAACTCCAACGATCTCATTTTATCCTCACAAAGTCTCTAGAGGGAGAGGCAAGATGAGTTTTATTTCCATTTCCAAATGGGGAAGCAGACTCTGAGCTGTGAAGGCACTTACTCAAGGCCCCAGAGTAAGCAAGTGGCAGAGCAGATCTCTGCCCCCTGCCCTTGTCCTCCTCATGCCGGGCAGTCTCCCCTGGGGTCCTGTGGGTTCTGATAACTGTGAGGACTGGCAGAGAGTGGGAGGGCCTGGGAGAGTGGGGGTGGGAGGTTGAGGCCTGAGGTTTTTCCCGACTCCCTCGCCAATAATCCACATGCCCAATAAAACCACTGGAGTTCAGAACCCTTAGGATTCAGAGGTCGAAGCCCATATTTAATAGAAGGGGAAACTAAGGCACCAAGAAGTAGTGGGGGCCTGTCAGGGCAGGGACCAAGGAATCTACAGAGAAGTCAGGAGAGTTCCCAAGGATACCCTCCCAGACAGCCCCCACCCCACCCGCGTGCATCAAGTCCTTCCAGCGAGGGCAAGAAGTCAGCATTCTGAGGACCAAAACTGTCCAGAGGCCTGGCACGCAGGGCACAGGGTGGTAGCCAGAGCGCCAGGACCCAGGATGAGCTCAGCACTGCAGCTGCGGGGCGGGGAGAGGGGGGAAGGAGGGAGGGGTAGGGTGGATTCTGACTGGCTAGTTCAAACCCCA